GGGCAAATGAAGTGTTTGTTCTGGCACTTGACCTGTGTTGGTTGGACTTTATTCCTGCAGGATCCTTAGAAACCATTGGCAGATGGGATGGTGGCTGGTGTGCCTGCTGCTTTAAAGTGTGACACACCCAAACCAGAAAGATAAATGTTCTGTTTGCAAAGTACACAGTCCACACATTCAGAATTTTATTTTTTTTTTTTAAAGTCTTATTGCTTTATTCAGATTTTGACACAGCCCACTTACATTACTGGAAGTCCTGTTGAAGATGTATATAGAAACAGGTAACTACCTCCCAGCAGAGACCAGTTTAAACCAACAGATTAAAATAATGGTGAAGTTCACCCTGAATAATTTATGAACTAAGAAATTTCTCCTTTGTCTAAGAAGAGCAGTCACTATAAAATGCATTTTCTGGCTTTTGGTTTGGGCTCCTTTTTTGTTATTTGTCTTAAAACTTTGAAATACTCTGTGGATATATTTTACATTCTAGAAGAATACATGATGGCTTTATGAAATTAGAGCTTCCAAACAGTCTTCTGAGAAAATTTAAGTACTAGCAATATTCTATCTTCTTTGACTCAAAGTGCATACACATTCAAAGGTTTTACAGATTTCCCAGACATCTTTTAACATACATAAATCACATCAGGTGTTTTTGTTCTCAGTGGAAAAAAATTTGTTAAAACAAATTAGTACTTTTAAAAAGTGTTCTGTGGAAAGTGTGCTACATTTTTTCTTCTGGGAAATCAAACCAAGAGGATCTGCTGACAAGTCTCTTTGGCAGTCTTAGTATCAATGGTTGTCTCTCTGGACACTCTAGGAAGGAAATCCTGGGGGAAGGCAGTTGCCTGGAAGGCGCTGGTGGTGCTTCTTGAATGTAGCTGGTTACAGTTTCTGTGTGAGGGATGTTACTGCTGGTATCTGCTACGGTAAGACTCTGATCAGCTGCTGTTTCTCGAAGTTCGACATCAGCATTTCCAATGTCACCATCTAACTCTCCGCTTCTGGTAGGAATACTGCACTTTTTGGCTGCTTCTCCAGTTTCCTCATCAACTCTGGAAACATCTTCACATGCCGTCTTTCCCAGAAAAGAAGATGGAGACTCATTTTCCCTCTCATTTATCCGAGTTGTGCCTGTCCAAGTAATACTGCTGTCACGTTCAGTACTTTCTAGCTCCTTGCTACTATCACTATCAATTGTAATCACCACTGGAGAAGAATGTGCTGAGTTACTCATGTGATGTTTCCGGTGTTTCTTCTTATGCTTTTTCTTTTTCTTTTTAAGATGCCTTGCACTGTCTGTTGCTTTTCCTTCAAAGACTATCTCCACACTTGGACTCCTCATCTTTTTTTTCTTTTTCTTATGCTTTGTCTCACTACTTGCTCGATTGTCTGAAAGGCTATCGTCATTTTTGTAGCAGTCACTGAATTTTGAGAAAGTTTTCTTGGGGTTATTTTGTCTTTCTAGACTTGGGCTCTCCATGGACACATTCTCCAAGTGGCGAGTTTTGTACTTCCTTTTTCCACCAGGCTTTTCATTTTTCATTCTGTCTGTTTCTCCAGAAGGTGTCCTTGACCTGTTGCTTGATCGACTCCTTGACCTGCATCTTTCATAACAGTAATACTGTCTCTCATGGAGTCCCCTCTGGCTATGAGGATCTGTCCTTTCAATAAATGATCGTATCCTGTATTCTGGACTAGGAGATTGCCTTGAATAGAGGGTATTCGACTGTGTCCTTCTCCTGCTGGAGGATTCATAGCCATCTCCGAACGTCTTTCGACTACAGAAAGCATAACCCCACTGGTATCTACTGTGGTAATTGTCTCTTATATAATAATGATCGCTGTCTCTACTTCTTGATCTCCTTTTGCTGTGGCCTTTGCTACATGTTTGTGATCTGCTTACTTCTCTGGATGGAGTGCTCTCACAGCTTAGAGAGCCTCTCTGGCTTTTTAGAGAGACTCTGCTGTCACGAGTCCTCGACCTCCTGCTGCTTCTTTTGCTCCTGTGTTTGCTACTATCTCTGCTTCTTGATTGTCTCCTTTTAAGTTGGCTTTTGCTACGATGCTCCTTCCTAGAACGATGGCCATGACTGCTTCGACTGTTCCGTGAACAGGACCGTGGGCTCCTGGACCTTCCCTTTCTAGACAATCTGTGATTCCAAGGGGAGCATACTGTATCACTCCCTGGAGAGGGGCTCCAGCTCAAGTCCTGTGGAGACAGATCTTTTACTTTACATTTGTTCTTGTTGTCATCTTTTGACTCTGCCTTCTCAACTGCAGGAGATATGCAGCTTCTACAACTACCTACATCCTCCTTATACGTGGTGGATCGTGGTGATAAACTCCTGCTTGGTTCACTATCACTCCAGCTATGACACTGAATTGGCTGCTGTTTCTTCATATCTTCCTTTTTCTCTTCCCTGATGGACTCCTCAGAGTCTGAGGACAGCTCAACCACTTCTGGTGTCCTCTCAGCTAATGGCTTAACATACCCAACAATAATACAATTGTCCGAGGAAGAGTCACTGTTGTTTGAGTCAGCATTAGCCTGTAACTGAGTTTGCAATTTGTTTCTTCGACTCTGTGTAGCAGAGCCCTCATCAGAACTTTCTGACGTCTCCAGAGGAGAAGCTATGGTTGTACGAACATCTTCTGAAATGGAATAGGAAGGCCCTGGAGTTTCATCATCCCAGGGGGCCTGATCAAGACCAGTCACAGACAAACTGTTATCTGGCCCTTGAGAATATGCCATATCTGGAGATATTGTAATAATCGATGAGTCTGAGTGGCTTCCTTCATCATACGACGGTGCAGGACAGTCATAATTGGCATGTTGATCATATGCTTCCAAGTTAAAAGGACAACGGGCAAAACTGATGAATTCATGTAAGAAGTGTTCAGTCCAATTCAGCAAAAATGGCTTTATATAGTTAGCAAAGGCCTCACTTTCCATATCATACCTGCTCACATTATTCATGATAATGTGCTGTACAATACTAATCAAAGATCCATGGATACCAAACAGGACTGTAAGTTCCCGCTTCAACCAAGGAACCAACCGGTGAAGGCAAGCAGGGTTGCGGCGGAAAAACTCTGATGAAATGTCTCGATAGCGGCCACCATCCTGAATACTACGAATACGCACGCCAGTACGGTACAGAGCTCTGCGGAAGCTGATCATGTCCTCTTCCCGAATCTGCCGCAGGGATCTGCCCTCTGCGCTAGCCTTCCTCCTTGAGGCCAGCCTCCGTATCATATGCTGAATCTCCCCATCTCTCTGCCGCACTGGTTCACCCGACAACCCTTCAAACAGTATCCCGCTATTTGAAGGTGACAGCGTCCTTCGGGAAGGGGAACTGCCAGCGCGGTGTTCCCCTGTTAAGGTGGTACGGTAACGAAATCTCCGGCCATCAGGGCTGGAGAAAGAGCTGTTTTCTGACGAGCTGAGTACATACTCCTTAAAGTCATCTTCAGCACGAATTGTATGGAAAATGGAATAAAAAGGCTGCTTGCAGAGGGGGCACTCTGCTTTGTTTTTTGACCATTCCTGGACACAGCGGAAACAGAACCTATGCAAGCAGCGATCTAGATATGCAACATTGTCAAATCTATCCAAGCAGATAGGGCATTTAGAGTCAGGAGATGCATCTGTTGGCAGCTTGCTAGTGCCAGCTTTTGGTGAAATGTTGCCATCTTCTGAAAACTCCTTGTCTGCTGAAGTCATGTTCTACATAGAAAGAAACAAAAGATCATTGCTATCTCAGAGAGACAAAGTATCAAAATTCTAGACACAGAAACTTGTAACAGTTACCTTTAAGGTTGCAAAACCCCACATTAGGACTGAGAAAACACCAAAGAGGCAGCACGACCAAACTACTTTGGTTGGCTTCTCTTCACAGTGAGATCTGGCTCTCCAGCATTGCAAGTTTTAAACAGAGCCTGAATCATGCTGGCATAGACAGAGGCAACAGACAGGACTCTGTCTTCTTCCTCACTCAGAACTAACCACTTTGACGTGGTCAGTAAGTTTATGATTAACACAGTATCCTCCAAAACACACTTCCAAAACAGACCAGCATCTACATTCGAAAAATATGAGAACCTATTTTGGCAAAAGTCAAAACAGGTAATTGCAGTCAAACTAAACTACCAGTTTCCGAGTTCAGCTGGACCTGTCCTGCTCTTGCACCCTCTGCAAACGTTTTGCTGGACACTCGTGATGGACCACATACAGCTTGTTGGACTAAGCAATCTCCAGGGATGTGTTCCAGCCCGAGTTAGTCTTTGTTTTTATGACTTCAGCAGGAACAGGCAGGTGTCATTCCTACACCCATCCTCGGGGACATGCTGCCTGCGCACCTAAAATAGGCAGTTAGCCATCCAACCCACCTATCTGGGTGTGGTTATTTCGGGCGTCAGCATTCCGCTAAAGCGCTGTGACTCGTTGGAAAGTTCCCGCGCTACTCCAAAACTCGCTACCGGCCACCTTTCGCGGCAAGTCGGGGAGCGTGGCGCCGGGCGCGAAGACAGCCTGCCGCGGAAAGCGGGGGGGACGGGGACGCGCCGGGGTGGAGAGGGAGGGGGTAACGACGCAGCTCGGCGGGGGGGGGGGGCGCGCACGCACGTCGCGGTGCGTCACGAACGCACGCGCAAGGGCGGGGGGGCCTCAAACACACAAGCACAAACACAGGCGCCTTCCGCCCCGCCCGGACAGGCCCGGCCCTCAGGCCCGCACTCACCGCTGCCGGGCCGTCGCTCCCCGGCCGGGCTGGGGCCGGGTCCCCGGCCGACTTCAGCTTGTGCCGCGCCCGGCAGCGCCCGGAGCCCGCAGCCTCCCGCCGCTCCTCCCCCGGCGGCCGGCGGCAGTGGAAGTCCTCGGCCAGGCGCCGAAGCGGCTCCGCCATGACCGGCAGCGGAAGCAGTGTTGCCGCGGTGACCGTCGCCCCCGCCCTCCCCGCCGCCACCAGCCAGGCAGCGCCGGGCCGCCGCGCTGCCTGCCGGGAGCTCCGAGCACCGGGTGTCACTTCCGCTGAAGCGGAGGGCGGGGGGAAGAGGAGCCGCCATGGCGCCGGCGGAGCGGAGGGACCCGCGCCCGCTCTGCCGCCTGGTGTGTGCCGGGGCCGGCTGCGCGGCGCGGCGCGGCGGGGGGGACTGGCGGGGACGGGGAGCAGGGCTGGGTGTTCCTCTCGGTGTGTGGGGGGGGGGGGGAGGGTGGGCAGCGGGCACCGAGGAGATAACGGGAGGGTCCCGGTGTTGCCGCCGTCAGCGCGCAGTTTTTTGTCCCGCAGGTGCTGGCTGCCGTGGTACTGCTTACCTGGGGCTTCGTCCTCTACGGGGAGCGGGTGGTCGCCCGGCGGCAACTGGAGAGCGGGCTGCTGGCCCACGGCCGGCCCTAGGCTATGGTGGAGCCCCGGGGACACGAGCGGGAGCGTGGCGGTGCCTCCCAGGGCACGGAGGGACCCACTGGAAGGCTGAAGGAGCTCCGTGGTCAGCTGGGCAAATGAAGCGCAAATAGCGCTGAGGAAAGAGAAGGCAAATAAAGCGCGAGCAGTTAGGAAAGAGAATATCTCTCCGTGTTGATTGTTGTAGCGTTTATCTACAAGAGACGTGCGTCCCCGTGTGTGCCAAGAAGACACCAACAGGGGTCTCAGCAGCCACCTCGGGGGGAGGCCTCCTCACACCTTTCACCTGCTCCAGTGCGGGGTCCATCCCGCAGGAGACAGTCCTCCACAAACTTCTTCAACGTGAATCCTTCCTGTGGGCTGCAGCTCTTTGTGAGCTGCTCCAGCATGGGTACCTCCATGTGTCAGAGTCCTCCCAGCAGCAAATTGCCCCAGCATGGGTTTCCCTGAGAGTCCCGGCCTTCTTGGGGTGCAGCCACCTGCTCCAGCGTGGCGTCCTCCGTGGGCTCTGCAGGGGCACAGCCTGTCCTCACAATGGCCCATGTGGGAGTCTCTGCTGCACCACACCTTCCCTCCTCCTCCTTTCTTCCACTGTCCTCATGTTAGCATGGGTGTCATCCCCACACTCCTCCCAACTTCCCCGTACATGTGTTACCACAGAGGCAACACCACTGTCACTACTTGGCTCAGCTCTGGCCAGAGGTGTGTCCAACTTGTAGCTGGGGGAGCTTTGAGAAGCTGCTCACATAGGCCACCGCTGCAGCCCCTTCCCCTGCTACCAAAACTTTGCCACACAAACACAGACCCGGCACACATGCACACAACCAGCCAGGTCCCTTTTCCCCTCTACAGCCGGTAAGGAGTGAAATTCACCAGGGAAAGCACAGGTGGGTTCATGTGAGAACCAGCACAGCCTTCCTGCCCATCTGGTAACTTCCCTGTACCCTCAGCCCTCTTGATCACTTCTATACACCAGCTGGACCAGCTTCATGCTCACGAGCAAACACGTACATGTGCACCAACACACACACCCAACGGGCGCTCCACACCCACAGGTCTCCCCAGATACCAGCATGGGCCTATGCCTGATATCCTGCCTGAACTGAGGGCCTCCTACTCACCAGCTAGCCCACCCCGAAGTTTGTTAAGATGTATCTCCACCTCCAACACTTTTACCTGGTGTTTGGGGGAGATGCAACCACTTTGGCTCCCCAGCAGGCAGCTGGGCTATGACCTGCAGTCCTGCTTCACATGCTGGTGGCAAGACTCACTTGTTTTACTCATTCTGATTCCCTCAGGAGCTGCAGCTGGGGGACACATACTAGTTCTGTCCCAGCAGCTGGATCTGAGAGCCTCACTGTCACCTGTGCCCTTTGCTGGCACCAACACCCTTACCCACTCCATTGCTGGCATGATGCGAGGGATCTGATCCAGGATGCTCCTACTCGGTCAACTTCCTAGATGCTGTGTGCATGTGCTAGCTCTTAGACGAGTTGGGATCCACTTGGAGAGTCCATCTCCGGGAACTCTTTGTACCATAATGGGAAGATGAAAGGTGTTCCAGGCTCTTCACAGGGGTATTTTCATTTATGAGCTGAAAATATGCAATTCTGGAAGTTAAATGGATCTGTGTTGGAGTTCTGGTTTTCTACACAGCTGGGAAGAACAGAATTCTTGTAGATCCTCTCCCACAGTCCACACAGACCAGCAGCACCTCCTCCCACCCACTGACCTCTTGAAGCTGTGGAAAAGTAGCAGCGTCAGTGCCCAAACTGTTGTCAGTGGGACCCATAACCCTGGGGGAGGATGGGATGGACAACCCCCAGCCCTCCCTCTGGCTCTCCCTGGCACTGGGGACAATGCTTTCTTAGGCACAGTGGCGACACCTCCTCTGGGGAAGGAGGTCAGCAGGATGCTCTGGCGATTCGATTCCTGGGGTTTTTGAGCAACTCCCATGTTACTTGCATCACCCCTCAAATATACTAAAATTGTCATAGACCCCAGGAGCACCCCTACAAAGGTTTCTGGGCTGGCAGAGAGGCTCTCAGCCTCTCCACAGACCTTTTCTCTGAGCCAAAGTTGAACAGCTGGATCATCCTCCGTTGTCCAGGCAATAAGAGCTCAGCTTTGGTGTGCTGTTGTCCTCAGCATGGTGTTCAAGCAGTCACCAGATGCAGTTGTCTTCTTCCCCTGCCCAGCTGGGTACCTCCAGAAGCACGGCGCCAAGAGCAGGAGCTATGGGCACAGGGCTGGGTGGCCGTGTTAGAAACAGCCTGTGGCCACCAGCCTGCCCCAGGCTGCAGCCTCTTACTGATAGCTTCTCCACCTTAATTTCAGGTGCTACCACTGGCATGCACCTGAAGCTGCAGGTGGGCAGGTGTCAGCCACTGCAGGGTTTAGGTCTGCTCGGCTCTGCTGCGAGCTTTCGACGTGCCGCTTTGCAGCCGCCGCGACAGAAATCACCCGCTATGGCCTTGTTCCTTCTGGGAGGTGAGTGTCGGTGCCCACACGGAGCTGGTTCACCTGCGAGCTGCCACCAGATGGCAAAATGGTCCCCAGCACTGCTCCCTAGCCTGCGCGGCATCAACGCAGGCTGGAGTCCTGCGGGGCTGCCGGGAGAGCCACAGCACCAGCCAAATTTGTGCCTCCTCGGGTTAGCTGCTGCTCGGCGTGGTCAGGGGTGCCCACCCGACAGCCTTCGGAAGTTCAGGATCTGCCCGTTGTCTCTGGTCCGTGGAAGTCCAAGGCAGAGCCCACGACTGCTCACAACAGATATGAAACACCCCAGAGTGGCCCTGCTGCTGACTAGGACCTTGCACAGTGACAGTAAGGAGGCAGAAAGAGAACTTGCTCTTTTTACGTTATGGTCCTCAGCTAACCGAGAAAACCATGTGATGTGTCTGCAGATATTAAGAGAACTGAGAGTCTCAAGTGCTTTTTCTTCACTGCCCTGCCCTGACTGTTGTCTCTCTTCTCCTGTCCTGCCGTCACAGCACCATGCCAGAGTCAGTGTTAAGGGTCTAAGAAACATCCTCAGCTTCACCTCCTGATGTTTGGCTGAAGCCATGTCAGGATGATGGCAGCAGCAAGAAGCAACATTTTTTTCTCCCAGGTAACATGGGAGGGGGATCAGAGCCCCCATAGATGTTGGGAAAAACCTCCTTTGAGTCTAGTGGGGAGGACACACCCTGCAGCTCCTGTCTCTGTGGCTCACCCTTCTGCTTGCCTCTGCTACTTGTCCAATAACAGTAGCTTTTTCAGGAAAGCAAGAAGTAAAATCATGTACATCCCAAGGATCTGAAACTGCCACCTCAGCAAGAAAAGTCTCTGTGTTGTGCTACTAAAATCATCATAAAACATAAACTGGCGAGTTCCAGAGAAATCCCAGAAACTTGAGGTTTATCTTCAGCTCAATTTCCCACACTGGAGTAAATCTTCACTCTGATTCTTCTGCCCAGAAGTTATGCATTGTCTTGAAGACAAGGCCATAAGGATCATTGTCCAGGATCAAGCTCCTGAGACATGGATTGAAAGCAATTTAAGAAGAACTCTAGTACATATCTAGTCATTAGAAATTTGAGAATATAACCTCAGCATCTCATGAACAGCAGTATTAAAAATGTACTGCCTATGTAGTTTTGATGCCAGTTGTCTCATTTCTTAATACACTGAGCCACCTCTCTCTGACAAGCTGTCTCTGAAGCTGCTCACTTACAGTGTTACCACATATGTTATATGTTCCACCTTCCCTTCCCTTTCAAACTCTGTTCAGCTTGTGCTCGTGTGCTTGCTAACAGAAGTCAAAAAGCACATGCAAACCTCCTCAACTTGCTTCTGAGATGTCACAAGAAGGGCTTGGATTCAGTGCTCAGCATCCATCATGCTCTCCTCACTCATGAAGATGCAGTGCAGAGCAGAAAGCATGTGTTTCCTGTTACATTCAAAATGGTACAGCAAATAACTATGTTTAGGCAGCATTAACCATTCAGATGAGATCACCAGAGATGGCTATTTTGCTGATGCTATCATCCCTAAAGGAATATATTCATAATGCAGATGAAATCTCCCTCAGATCTTTTTTTTTCTTTCTTTCTTTTTAATCCTTTTTAATAAAGCATAGCTTATTTATCAGAGCAATGCTGGTTTATTAGTCTTGAAGTGTTTTGTTTGTTTGCTTAGGTTTCAGGGAGTTGTTTGGAAAAATTGTGATCAGTATGCTTTTGATTAGCATAGCTAAGCGGACTTTTTTAATGAAATGATTAATTGATTCAGCCAGGTATGTAGCCACACTAACATCTGCTTCAACAGATACAAAAGATGCTCCTTCAAATACGACCTTGCTTCACTAACATGAGACAGTACCCATGGATACATGTTAATTACAAGGTTGATAAGAATATGTAAGGATAGCTAATATAGCTGAGTTATTTAATGAAGACTATTGAAAACAGACAAAAATTACACAAAAACATTAGCCAGGTAACTGTGGGTTAAATTTGGCTTTAAATCACTTTAACATATTGATGATAATCAATTTCTCCCAGATAACACCAGCAAGGAAGCTGGAACATACTCGCGTCATTCCTGCATTAGATGCTGTTTGAAAATGGAGAAATTGTGCAAGTTCAAACTATTTTAATAGAGCCCTCTGCCTGCTTATTATTGAATATATGTTTTCATTAACCTCTCTATTATTTATACAATACCACCTGTAACCTAAAAGTTATATAAATACAGATTTCAGTAAATACATGCAAGTTCATGGTAAATGGAAACCAAACGATCTTTTAAAATCCCACTGGAGAGCAGTCATAAAACGAATATAAACCTAAAGACAGTACTTCAGACTACAAGTAACTCCCTGGTCACCACAGACCAAAAAGCAAAAGCTATAAAGCTATGAGACACAGAAGGATAAGGGTAAGAGACAGACGCAGGAGAGCAGAAGACAACACTAAGCCCAAAGGAGGGTGACATGTCAGAGGACCCTGTCCAAGGACATTACCAGTGCTTTTTGATTAGAAACACTCAACAGAGTTAGGACTGGTTTCTCTGAGTTGTGTTGCTGCCAAAAATCCTGTAAAAATTTGAACAGACAAGTTTCAGTTCCCTATCTGCAAATACAGGATGAGAGTTTTCTTGCTTCATTGTCACTTCAGGTC